CATGAATGAGTGACCACAGGAGTTACCACGCTCCAGGCATGGAGGCCTGCATCTGGTATGAAGTGGCTCTAGATTACGACTTCCTATTGTCACCTTTCCTCGAGATTTTGTCTCATAATCACTGCTCTTCCAGTAGGAATTCCAAACAAAGTGAGCACACTTCTGTGGGCCAATCCACAACTGTCCTTGCTGGAGACAAAGACCATGGCCCTTGGAGAATCACATCAGCCTTGAGCTAGTAGAAGCCAACTAGTATCAATCCATTGACCTGAGGAAGGCACTGACTTCTGGCAAGGCTGGAGTCAGTGGGATAACCTGTTTCTTCTTACATGAAAACTCTTTGTAAGGTAAGGTGGCCAAGACAAGATCCAAGAAGAGATTGTGTGATTGATTTTCATAGGCCTTAAGATCTGAGACATGAGCTCTAGTCAGGCATGAGTTTCTGTGCCCTGAAATGAATGGCTCCTAAGTCCCTGGAGAGGGGACATCAAGTAGCACTGAGCCCTTGAGAGACCACACAGTGTGATCTAATGAAGGCAAGACATTGATGTGGAAATCAGTTTCATCACTGATGCAGGTCAAGGTTCTCCCTGGGCTAAAAGGTGCCATTGGCTAACAGACAACACAGACATTGTCTTGGCCTCCTGCATGAAGTGGAGTCAACTCTCAAGCCACAGTGCCAGTTCTGGGTTCAGATAGTGTATGTGGATGGAATGGGGTGGGGTGCAGCAAGACTTGAAATAATGCTCGAGAAAGAAAAGAGAGAAACCATTTTCTCTTTAAGTTGAGCTTGAAGCTTTGAAGTGTAAGGAAAATAAAAAAGAATTATTTAAAACATGTTAGATTATTACACACATTTAAATGATATGAATGAGACAGAATTTTCAACACAGTTTATCTGTCATTTTTTTTTATTCAGTGGCTAGTCTTTTCTCTTTCCTGTGACTACTTATTTAGAATTTTTCAATCTTCCTGGTCTGTGACTTTTTGTTTCTTCTTCTGAATTCATTTTTTTTCCTTTTAAAAAGTGATGAGTCTTATCCCAGTCGTGCAAATTAACACATTTATTACTGTGATGAATACTTAACCTTTTTTCCTGGTTTACTTGGAAAAACACCTGGCCTTTTGGAACACAAAACCTTGAGGACATCCCAGTGCTCCCTGGGAAGCAGAAGATCTCTGTGGAGGGCAGGATGTCCTTGGAGTTAGAATCCTCAGAAGGAAAGTGTCCTTTGAATATTTCAAAAGGAAAAATACTTTAATTGGAAGCTTGAGAACAACTGTAGATGAAAAGATAAACTCAACTCTGTGAAATCTAACCTAAAGCAAGACTAGTGTTCTGGCACCTGTCTCTGCCTGGGCCCCAGCAGTACTATCTTTTGCAAACATAGTCGAAGATTAAAATTGTTGATGTATCCTGTCTTCTCATTAAATGAATAGTCATCATCATATTTCAGCCTCTTTGCGTTCTCAGGATGACCATGGGGAAATACTCTCCCAAGACTCTCTAATCATCTCACTTGGGGCAACCTGATTTCTTCTAATGTGGAAGATTGGGGCTGTGTGCATGGGGCACTGAGGTGGGTAGGTGAGAGCACCATGATGAAGACATCACTGTGAAAAAGTACAAAAACAGCTGAGCCTGCAGGAGGGCCACCTTCATGTTTAAAAATTTCCCAAGTTACCTTTGTATATTCTCAGCTCAGCAAAGATTGAGCCATTAGTTCATCTTCAGCCTATGAGAAAACGTCTGAGGGTGGACAGTGTCTAGCTGGTTTCTCCGCACTCCATTGACTCTGAGGAGAAAAATCCTTCAGGTGTGACTTCTTGTTTGGTATCCTCTTACAGAGAAATATGTTACGTCCTGCACTATATTCACCGATTTACATGGGAAGCAAAGGAAGGAGGGCATAAGGTCGTGCACCCAGTGAGTGAAGGTGTTTGGCAGTGGCCAATCTGGACTTCTGTGGAGCCTCAAGGTAATTAGCTGGGGCCTCTGGATATGTAGCCCCACCAGAAATACCTGAAACGTCTGCATTTAGATAAGACAAATATATGGATGCAATCTCTGAGGACGGTAATAAGGATATAGCAATTCATATCAATTCTGGATATCACCTGGATATTTTGGATAATGTAGTGAGGTATCTCAAGGGACAGATTCCTTCTACCACAAGTTGACACAGGCTTCTCAGGGAATAGACAACTTCCATCTGAATCATTCTTACAAGCTGAATTTTTATTTTTACTAAATTATCTATGTTAAAAAAAAATCTGTGCCTGGTGTAGAATTTCACTCCATCAAGTGTTACAATGACTTGTTCATTTTCATTACAAGCAGGAGAATGAATGTAGGACAAGTGTTAGGAAACATGGCAATAAATTAGAATATAATTTACAAAAGCAAAAAAAAAAAAGTAACAGTGTACCACATTAATACTGGGTATAAAATAATAAGCAACAACTAATCACAATAATACAAAGATAATTTTTTCTGTATTATTAAGGATAACTATGTGACATTCACTCAAATTAAAAAAACCTAATGAAATCGACTGTTTGGAAGTCAGATGTATCTCAAGGGATTTAATCATTTGGGTACATGTACCTTTCCTTTTTTGGTAGGCCTTCATACGAGCGGCAGGTACTGCTCTCAGCCGTGGGGTACGTAGCTCACTACTTTTGGAAGTCTTGCCACAGTGGCCCAGCCTTCACTGACCATCCTATTATTATTTAGGCATAGAGCATCATGTCACCATACAGGTGGCCACAAAGCAGCAGCACTGTAATGTGGAATATGATTTTTTTTTTACCTATTCCAGATTAAATTCAAGGTCTATTTGAAAGTATTTAATCCTGTGACATTCTGTACTCTGGAAAGGCAGTCTGGGGCAGCTCCAGTGAGCTCTCTGCATCCTGACCTCGGTGAGAAGTGTGCATCCCAGAGAGAATGCTGGCTGCCCTCCTCTCCTGCACCAGCTGAGGCGCCACTGCATAGGCCCAGGGCATGGCCTTTGAATGCTGGTTCCCAGGTGAGCTAAAAAATAACCTTTAGTCAGTAATGACAGAAACCTTTTGAAAGAAAAACATGAGCTGATATTTACGTTGGAGAAAATCAGACCCAGACAGCAAATTACCCCTAAAATGCCACAGAAACCTCCCACCCTTTATTTGTTTTATTTTACCAGGGCACATTAGCACCAAGTTAGCTGTGTTTGGAAAAGGACTAAGGGAATTCAGTGTGGGGCCACACTGCCCATAGATTGCCTTCGGCGTTTGGGCTGGTCCTAGTAAGAGCAGCACCGACAGGAGCCATGATGGTAGCTGTTGGGTCAACAGCTCTCAGTAAAATCTCGGGGATAGGGACCGGAGCGTTGAGAGAGAAAGCAGGTAACAAGAGGTGGATGGTTGTGACAGTGTGCAGGAAGCATCCCAAGCCCACTGTCCACAGCAAACCTGAGAGTTTAGGCTGGTTTTTAGTGTTCGAGTCTTTCTTCCTTTTGAAAAAACAAAAACAAAAAACAAAAAACAAAAAACAAAAAACAAAAAACAAAAAACAAAAAACAAAAAACAAAAAACAAAAAACAAAAAACAAAAAACAAAAAACAAAAAACAAAAAACAAAAAACAAAAAACAAAAAACAAAAAACAAAAAACAAAAAACAAAAAACAAAAAACAAAAAACAAAAAACAAAAAACAAAAAACAAAAAACAAAAAACAAAAAACAAAAAACAAAAAACAAAAAACAAAAAACAAAAAACAAAAAACAAAAAACAAAAAACAAAAAACAAAAAACAAAAAACAAAAAACAAAAAACAAAAAACAAAAAACAAAAAACAAAAAACAAAAAACAAAAAACAAAAAACAAAAAACAAAAAACAAAAAACAAAAAACAAAAAACAAAAAACAAAAAACAAAAAACAAAAAACAAAAAACAAAAAACAAAAAACAAAAAACAAAAAACAAAAAACAACCCTAAGTATCCACCCTGGGTCATATGACACACTGACATATGGTTACAGAGCACAGTGATGAACTTAAGTCACACATGCTCTTCAGCTGTAAGTAGTAGATGTATAAAGTAGCCATCTTGTTGTGAATTCTAGGCGTTGGTGCATGCATGGTGTACATGTACACCAAAGAAGGTGTGTTGAATACAAAACCCATTCATCAAGAACCTGCTGCAAGCTACAAGTGCTCAAGTACCAAATATTAGTATAAAGAAGTACCTTTTTTTAAAAAAAAAAATATTGCTGTTGAGTCTTTTGATGAGCAGAAAAAGAAAATAAGCTAGTTGTTTTGATTTAGGTGGATGTGAGTCTAGATTTTGACATGCCCAAGAAACTGGGTTTCACATTTTAATTGCCATTCAGAGTATCATTAAAAAAATACAAAATACTTGGTTGAGTGTCTATTAAAAGTATGATCTCTAGTCTTCATGAGTTTTTCTTCTTTGGTTGTTATCCCTTGCCTACTTTAGAACTCACAGAAACAGCACACTGATGTGCAAGCACACTCATCTGTCCACGCACGAAAAAGCACCCGCACACACACACACTTGCTCTCATATAAATAAATGCCATTCTACCATATCAGAGAAGGGACATCTGGAACCCATCGTAATTGTCAGCAAATTGCAAAAGGGTCTGCCTTGCTGTTGCCGATCCAGTCTGTCTTTTGCATGGTATCATCTCAGTAAGCTCAACACGCATGCAACAATCCAACAGGGCAGAGGCCGCTCTGTGGCTGGTGAGGATGTAAACACAAGTGACTCAAATAAGAACTAAGGCGTCCTGGGTGATGGCAGCACAGGGCCTGGTACTTTAGTCTCTGCCATACTCCAGGTCTGGCTTCTGCATGAAACTGAAATGCTTTTCCTCTTAAAGTTTTTAGTGGAAATCTCAGCTTCACTTGCACGCTGGCAAGTTGGCCACAGTCTTTTAGCATTGAATTTATAGACTTGCACAGCTGCAGTAACTGATGCACTGCTTTAAACTAAGTCCCTCATTGTTGTTCAGTTTAATATATTTTAATATATGGCTCACAGCAGTGTTCAGAACAGGGGGATTATTCCTAAGGAAATTAAATGGAATGAAGAAAAATAATACAAACTTTCATTACTTTTGATTTATAATTGCTCCTTAAATTACAGTTCAAAGCTCGTTTTATAATTTAAGTTGTGGTGCTGTTGTTGTGAGATAAAGGATAGTAAATACTTTTAAGCTATGACTTTTGAATTCTGCATCTTCTTTACTTCCATAGTTGACCAAGTCATAACGGCTACATTTTAAACAGTTTTAAATACACATGGATTCAGTGTCATTGCTAAGTCCATAATAAAAATTATCTTAATGGTCCAAGGAGGTAAACAGGCTATTGGATTTACTCGAAAGAACACAAACGTTCCACAGTAAGCAAGTCTCTATGTGTTGTTTGGATCTCTCCAATCTGGCATTCCCTCCTAATACCGTGTCCAGCACTTTGGATCAATAAATCCCACTTCACAGAAGTTAAAATAATATTGAAATCCTGTCAGCTAGGGCTGACCAGTGGTTACGTTTTCCACAGGGTAATGCATTTGCAAGGACATCAATCCTCTTCCTCTGGGTGGCTCTCTCGGATGGATGCATTTCCACGATGAAATGACAAGGCTCTCTCTGGCTTTCCGTGGGTCAGTGTCCTTGGCAGGTCTTACAACACATCTGTCTGAAGTATGCTCGACTGCAGAACTTGAACTTCAGCACCAGTGGGCAATAAGCCACTTTGTTCACATCTTTGCACTCTAACAAATGGGGGCAGAAAATGGAAAACAATTAGAAGCACATAAACAAGTACATAAACAAGCCAATGCGCCTGGATGTTCAGTAAGGACCCCCTTCGGGTCAACCCACCTTGGCCTCCACATTTTTGTGGTTTTTGTTTTTGTTTTTAAGCATGCCCTGTCTGGTGTAGCCTACCAGAAACATTCTTTTGATACATTTTAACACAAATTTAAAAAAAAAATGTTTTCAAGGCTTTTCTTCCAGACTTTTATAAGTATGGTGCATGCCCACTGTGTCTTGAAAGAATTACCATTTGTTGGGATAAGTGATCACTTTAGACAGCTTGGAAACATGAGTCATTTTTCTTACAGCACTTTTATTGCTTCTTTCTCAAGGGTTATTTTATTCAACAGTGCAAGGTTATCCAAAATCAAACATGAGTTGCATTGTTTGATACCAAAGCACACATGTCTCCAGAGAATCTGCATCTGTGCGGCGTCGGGATGGGCCTGGGTGAAAAGGATCGCTGACAGTGGCCTAGATTCAGCAGCTACACTGGACAAAGAGGAAAGCTTTGAGGGGTTGGCCTCAAATGGCAGCAGTCTGTGGGTTATGGAAACATGTAGAAATGTCTTTTTTTAATTTGGAAGTGAGACATGGCCTTCTTTTTTCCTATGTGTATTTTCTCCTCGGTGCTAGAATTGCCACAGTTGCAGTCTTCAGTTCTTGTAGCCAGAAGGTGAATAACTGATTCTTTCCCCATCTCCTCTTGAGGCTGATTGCAGAAGGCAGAATAAGGTGCCAGTGTAGGGGAAGGGACACAGGCCATCGACTTTCAGCAGGCCCCTCTCCCCAGTACAAAACCACAGCACTAACGCCGATATTCTCCTCCAGCATACTGGTCACTTTTATCTGGGGATTTCAAAATACTTTGTAAACCTAGTAATTAAATTTTCATTTGCCTCCCAGAACCAAAGTTCCACCCTCATTTTTCCAGGTGGTTGTGCTGAAGCATCCTGGGTAACTTGTTTAAGGTAATCAGCAATCAGGCAGGACAGTGGGTAACATTCAGTGTAACAGGACAGTTTTGGTTGTTTGCTTGTTTTTCTGACTTTAGAGATCCACTAAAGTTCTAAGAGATCGAGTACATGGTATATGAAACATATAATAAACCTGGAAAATGAAACGCAAGGAAATGAGACAGTTTCCAGTTACTGTTATTGAAAAGTAAGATACCAATGTTATTCATCTCACTTTAAAGGCTCATTCAATGGAAGTCTTAAAATTTGAAACTGGAGCCTCCAAATTTTTTAAAAGCAAAAGGTCTGTCCCCATCGAACTCTTTTATTCAAGATTTAATTTATAAAGAGAATAATACTTCAGAATTTGAATAGAAACTTTTCACACCAGGGTTTTCTTTTATTTCATTCTTTTCTTTTCTTTCTTTTTTTTTTTTTTTTTTTTTTCAGGGAGATTTTTTGCTATAGGGAGCATACACTCGCCTGAGAGGCAGAGAGACAGAAAGTGAGAAATGACTCCCAGGGAGATTAGCCATGCCACAATCCCTTCTCCTCCACTCTCCTCTCAGGATCCTGGGCAAACGTGCATGTGCACTGGTGTGAGTTTTAAGTCACCAGGTCTGGGACTCAAACTGTTATCAATTACATGGGAGTCTAGCAGTATAGCCATTATGCCATCAGCTTGTCCCTACACCAATAAATTTAAGTTTTGGCTGAAAGAAAGTAGAAAGGAAATGAAAATATTTTGAAAACTATGCACTAAAAACAAAACAAAAAAATAGGCTGGCTCTGCCACACTGTGGTAATACACTGCTCAAGAAAAGCTGGATCTCACATGACAACTAAAGTTGGAATTACCAGCCTGTTGAGCCTGAAACAGGCCAGGTACATGCACCAATACCCCAAAGCAGACTGCCTGGAGGACAGGAGAAAGGGGATCACAGCAGAACCAGAGCCTGTGAAAGGTACTCATCTCTCTCTCTCTCTTGCTAGTTCCTCTCCCTCATGTGCATGTGCATGTTCTCCATTATGAATAATTAAAAAACCCTATCACATACACATACACACACACACACACATTATTCTTTCCATGAGTGAGAAAGAGAGAACCCCCAATAGGCTCCCAACACCACAATGCACATCCAGCCTTCAGCTATCCATGGATCATGGGCAAGTGTGTGCCTGGCATACTTAGCACAGTCTCTGGACCTGAAGTAGGAACCTTCCTATGAGAGATGCCTCATAGGGCAGTAGATTTTACCACTGTGTCACCGTCTGACCCCTAACATTTCCATATATTTTAATGTGCAGGTCACTTGTTATTATTTTTTCTTTTTCTTTCTATAATAATGACCAATAAAGGTGGTCCAAAAGAATATTTTTGAAGAGAAAATTTTTTAATCATTATTACCAAGAAGGATATATTGTCTGAAGATAATACAGTTACTGAAATGATGAGAAAAGAGGTGCATATCTCTGCTGACATGCCAGAATTCTTTCAAAGATTTTTGCTTTAGGGTGCATGTACTTGCTGGGGAGAGACAGAGATGGAGAGAGAGAAAGTGAGAAACCACCCCTCCTGGCCGCAGGGGGTGGCCACACCACAATCCTTTTGCTTCCATTCTCCTCTCAGGATTTTGGGCATGCATGCACATGTGCCTGGCAAGATTTTTCAAACCGTCATGTCCATGAACTACAGTTGACCTCATGAGAGTCCAGTGCCTTAAACACTTCACCACCTGCTGGCGCCAACAGAACTAATTTTTAGTTCCAAATTACTATCCTAACAGGGTAGCCACTCTCAGACTCTCCAGAAGGGCTTGGTAAGACAGAAAATAAGCTTTAGCTTCCACTTTCTTTGCCAAAATATAAAACGAATACCAAAATACAAAACACTTTCTCTGCACTAGGCAGAGAAGGTACTCAATACACGTAAGATATTAACTACATATAAAATACTAAATTGCTACTACTATCGCTATTAGTTACTAGTATATCTTATTGCTTGATGACAGGAGAAAGCAAAAAGTTATGCTCTAAACATATCAATGAGGAGGTGATATTTAAATTACTACTGTAAAAACACTGCCCTAAAGACAGAAGTCAATTTGAAGACAAAACAAAGAAGAATATTTCCTGGGATATACTTTTTTTTTTTTCCTTTGCTATAGGGCACATGTGCTTGCCAGAGAGAGACAGACAGAAAGAGAAAGCGGGAAGGTGAGAGAACACTCCTCGCTCACCCGGAGCCGGGGTGGGGGCATGCCTCAATTCCTTCTCCTCCATTTCTCCTCTTGGGATTTTGGGCATGCACATATACATGCCCAGCATGTTTTTCAAGCCACCAGGTCCAAGATGAACCTGCTGTCAGCCATGTGGGATCCAGTTGTCTTAAGCACCATGCCACCTGCTGGCCCTCTGGGATATAATTTTATTGGTAGGTTCGTTATTCTGTTTTGTTTGTTTGTTTGTTTGTTTAACTTTATTTAGAATTATTTTATTTAATTTTATTTATTCATTTGTTTATGTTAATTTGACAAGACAATAGGGCAAGACACACACACACACACACACACACACACACACACAGGTAAAGTGAGAAAGCAAGTCACCAGGTCTGGGACTTGAAACGTGGTCACCCATGTGGGAGTATCCAGCGCCTCAACCACCATGTCACTCCATTATTCTGTTTTTAGAAGAGTTGCTGGACCAGAAAAATTCTGAGCTGAGCACAATACAAGCAAATTTGTGGATTTTTCTTTCAGATTTAGATTTGAGGATCTAATTAGATAATAAATAATGCATAATAAGTGAAATAGAACATTTGTAAATTGCTTCTCTCTCCACCTGCTCATCCACCCACCCATTTATGTTATTACAAATATAATTAGGGACTCTGTTCTTAGTTGCATGCTATAAATAACATGCAGAAGCCCAGAGCACAGACAGCCCTTTGTCGAGAATCAGTATCTAACCTTTGGGTAGGCTGGAGACTAGCTGCCAGGGTGGCCCTCTCTGAACTTCCTACACTTGCTGAATTAGTTCCCCACTAACTTGATTGAAAGGAAGTTGTCCAGGTCCTGAGAGCAGGATTAAGTTTAGGTAAAAACTGATTTTGAGTGTGCCCTGACCTGCCTATGACTGCAGCAACATAACAGAAGAGAGGGCAGGAGATCTGGAGTTGGGTAGACCTGGCTCTGAATTCCGGATCTGCCACTTCTAGTATTCATTCATCCTTTGCCAAGTTACTAGAGCTCCAAATCTCAGATTCTTCATCTCTAACATGAAGCCCATGGTAAGGCCTGCTCAGGATGCTGCGAGCTTGCATGAGGTAATAATGCATATAATGCTAGTGCGGGGCCAGTGTATGGCCTGCTAGTTAAGGCAGGTGATTCCACATGGCTGACTGCGTGGTTCAAGTTCCCAGCTTGAGAAACATACTGGGCATGTGTGCATGCATGCCCCAAATCCCGAAAGTGGGGACAGATGAAGGAAAAGGTATTATGGCATAACCATCCTCCGTGGGAGATACTTTCCTCTCTCTCTCTCTCTGTTTCTCTCTGGTGTACACACGGGACCTCTACCAAAAAGAGAAAAAATAAGGCAAGTGCCATAGCATTGGTGCGGAGTAAACACTTGATTTAATAGCTGCTATTACAGCAATACATCTGCCTCTGAGAAAAACCATCATACATTATCTTCAGATCCTTGTCAAAATGAACATAGGATCTCAGGAAGGGTGACGCGTGCATACATAAGCAAATGAACACAACGCTATTAAACAGGAAATGTGTACATTATTTTGGGGGTGGGGTGGGGTGGGATGGGGTGGGGAAAGACCTAGGAAAGACCCAAGGACTGCCAGGATACAGGCATGGGCCTTCATGAGACACTGAAATGCAGCCTCCTGTGCCATATAAGGACATTCGGTCTTGCAGGACCTTGGGGGCTCCCAAGGAGGGGGAAGCTCCAGTTCCTACTTAAGGTTTTGTCTTTTAGGA